CTTCAAAAGAAACAGTTGGAGGTAAGCTGACAAAGAAGTAGAAAGCTGGACTAACCAAGGGGTTAAAGATACAGTTTACACTTGGGAATTCTCTATAATATGCTCCTCCTTCCCTAGCAGCTGCCAAAAATCATATGACAGGAAACATAAGATTAAGTTTGTCCCACCTAAGTGAACAAAGAGTGCTCAGAACAGGCAATCAGTTCACTGCAGAGCAAGAACTTTTCTAATCCTGCTGGAATCCGCAGTGCTGCTCAGAAAATATTACTGAAATTGTTTTCTTTACTTTTACGTCTTGCTTCTAGATCATCTCATTCATTTTGGTCCACATTGCAGTTCTTGTTGCTTTTCCCATAAAGGTTAACTTCAAGCTTCAAACATAATCATGTGGAAAATGGACATTATTGATTCCTATGGTCCATTGTTCCCCCATTCTAAGTCCCTGAAGTTCAAGTTCAATCTGGAATTACATCATGTCTGGTTTCTCCTGGTTACCAGACAGCTTGAGACGTGACCACAGCTACAGAAAAAACAAACAGCCTTCTTCACGCTTCGGCTCCCCTATCGATTCAAACATAAACTTTTTTTCTTTCTCTCAAGTATGCTTCAAGTATGGAGCATGGTTAATTTAGAGATTAAGTTCCAAATTAGATTATCTAATGGCATCTTAATGGATTACTGACCCATTTCCTGTGGGATGGCAGCATGCAAGTCTGGCTTGAATACAACTAATTTCTTAGGAAGTGTTTGGAACATATTTGCCTAGATAGAGAGGAAACATAATGTTCTGCACATCTTTCTGCATTAAGGAGTTGGGCAAAACTATTAGAGTTAGTAATTTAAATTTATAAAGATCAGAAATCATTAGATTTTCTCTCCATGAATATTATTACAATCAGGATACTTCAACCTTTTTTTTCTGAAATCGTAATGAATTGATACTTCTATTCCATAATTAATTGATACTTCTATTTCAAAACATTTCCAGGGTAATGGGAGTAGGAGGGAGAGGTGAGGGAGGGGTAGGGGTCAGCATATACGAACCACTGGTCTAACAGGTGTCTGTGTTTGACAAAAAGTGCTTGCCACAGCAATGCTGTTGACTGTGTTCCTTTAGCTATGTGTTTGCTATGTGTTTGATACCAAACACGCACAAGGTGTTGTGCTGTAAAAGCAATCCGCACCCATTCTCACTTCCCCTCCAACCTCTTTCACAAATCAGATTATCCCATTTGATTGCTTTATCAGCATTGTTATCATAAACACACAGTGGTGCTGGAGGGGAAACGATGCTTGGAATGCTGAACCCATACAGCCAGAGCTGACAAAGAAATTCAGCACTCTGAGAACAGAGCTCCCCTCAGCATCTCCAGGAACAAACCAGCTGTTGTATTATGGTGATGTGTGAAGATAACAGAATACAAGCAGGAAATGCTAGCCTAGTCCATTTGCCTGGATACTGTAAAGGTAAGTTTACCCACAAAACTTAAAAACAGAACGATTCTTGAAAGAATTCATATAAATAAAAACACATTTGTCAATAGCTGAGTTAAAATGTACACTTTGGCAATGAAAAGTTGCTTACAGTCTGTGTAAGACTTGCAAAATACTCCACATGCTCTAAAAGAGGCTCACCATGACAGCTTTTCTGAGTATCTATACAGGAAATACTATCAATAGTCTAATAGTGGCTTAGATTCAGGATCAAATGCGTTATGAGACTCAAACACCCCACCACCACCACTTTCTGTCACTCTCACTCATGTCTCAAGTGTACTTTTTGCAAACACTTGCCCTCATGCAGTGACAGAGACTGTTTTCCAACATGAGCCTTATAGATTTTCACAGCTTCTCCCTGCCTTATGTCTCCAGGAAAACAATTAAACAATTATTATCACAGAACTACAGTTTAAAAAAAAAAAAAAAAAGAAGGGGGTTTGGGGTTTTTTAGTGGTTCTGAGTATCTTCCTCACATTTACACCCAAAATTGGCCTAAATTGTCTTAAAAGTACTGGTGAACTTAATTCTATGGATGTGCTTAAATATTTTTCAAAGTTCAGCAGACATAGTAAAATATATTTACAAATAAATATAAAAAGACATATATGCATAAGGACAAATATAGAAAGATGTAATATGTACAATTAATGTTCTAAGTAAACCACAAAAACCCAAAACAAAACAAAACAAAATTGTAGATGGTTAGGTTTTCAGGAGTAAAATAAAATAAAAATTACTACTTTCAAATACCTGACCAAGTAACTGGGGGTCTTTTGGGCTTTTTTTTTTTTTTTTGGATGCTCACAGGATTTTTAATATATTTCTTTTAAGGATACTAGAATGTTTAGTTCAGTTAAGCAAAGTATTAATCTAGTTTTTGTTATTACTATTCCTTGCAAGTCTTCTGGTTTAGTAGAACATGGTGTATCAATTACTTCAAAGTTTCATGGCTTGGTGTTGTTTTTTTGTCTTGTATTATTCATATTCTCTTCTTTTTTTTGAAAAGTTCAATATTTTACACAGACCTTTACTGTCTTATACCTGAGCCTTTAAATGCCTGCAGATACATAATTTTATAAGGAAAGAAAACCCCAGAAAATATATTTTATAACCTATATTTGTTATTTTGAAATCTATGCATTAGATCTATATCAAGGTACGACAGGCAACTATTAATAAGACAAAGAACACAGAAACAACAGTTTGATCATAATTCACTCTCCCCAAGTTTTCAAGGTGTGGTTCACCAACAATGCTTCATGAAAAAGCTTTCAGTTTGACCATATTTGCTCCCTGACCCCTTTAGTGACAGGGTAGTTAACACTGAAGAATTGCCAACCTTTTTACCTTCTTGAGGTCACTAATATTTCAGAAAAATCATATACTTTAACCACAAAAGCCTGATGTAAGAGGTTAGATTAACAACATCAAAATGAATACTGCAGATCTGAGGAAATCTCATAATCAAACATGTATCAAACCATTTGGGGTTGTGGAAACTTGTCTGGACTAGGATATATTTCTTTGCCAACATGTGACAATTCATTTAGCAACAAATTCTCCCTCCTATTTTTTTTTTTTAGTGTTAGTTTTAGCATTAGAAATGCTCATTGCTCCTTAGCCTGTGCAGGTATAATTTCTCCTCTGAGATTCTCACCTCTGTGGAATTTAAAAAATGTTGTTTTCAAAAACCCAAATCCTAAAAGCAATCTGCTAAGAGAGAACTGTTTGGTTCCTCATCCCTCAAGGCTGTGCTTAATCCAAGAGCAAGTAACATAGCCTAGGCCTCCAAAGAAATGCCCATGGCAGAATTCATGCCCAAACTCTTCTGGCAGCACTTCTGTACGTTCCTTAGGCCAAAGTGGCAGGCAGCATTATGGGAGTGACCTGCAAGACAGTTTCGTCTATAAAGTTAAGTGGATCATGGAGCATGCTTGTATTCACCACCAAGGTTTTCATGGTCACTGCTAGAATGTTTTTCCCCTGCCTTTCCTCTTTTTTTTACAGTTTATGCCCAGGGTCTTGTATGATGGGTACTGAAAAACAGAATTCAGCAAACGCTAGGACAGTGCTTCAGCCAGTATAACTGGCATTACTTTAAGGAGGGTTCAAGTGATGACTGATTAAAACCATTCAAGGGTATTCCTAGACAGGCTGTTGTGATGTAATTTCCTAACGGCTGTCAATGCCCTGAAAAAGCAACACCCTTTGTAGTGGGAGAATAAATCAACCCCCTCTGTGCTATACTATTTCAGTTTGGATTCATTCCTGGCAGTGCACTGAAAACAATTACTGCATGATGGGGATCTATAATGTGAATCATAGCCCTTGAGGAGATGAGGTGAATCCATTAGCTAATTTTCCATTCTGCTATTTAATCTACAAAGACAGAAGTGACAAGACCTGATTTTTACACTATAGTTTTTACAGATTTAAAACATTATGACAGAAAAAAATGAAAAAAAAAAAAAATCAAACTTCAGATTTTGTAAACAGTATTTTCAAATTCAGTAATTGCCCTTCCAAGTTGATTCTCAAAAGCTCCAAACCTTCTCACAACCCATGGTACCACACAGTGTATCAAAAGGCACATAATATATACCCAACTACACTCACAAACATTCTTACACAAAGTACATATATTTTCATGAACACATAAATTTCCAGAAAGTATTTAAAATTACTTCAAGAGTGAGTGGCTTCATCTGACAGGCTCCCAACCCCCAGGCTTTACATGTACAACTCCCATTAAGATAATCCTGCACATGAAAAAGATGAAAACTGATGTATCAAAATACGATGACTTGTTTATACACCTATTTAGACACAAATAAATCCCCACCCTCTGCTGTTACCATAAGTCATTATATACCAAGAGATGTAAAATATCACAGTTTAATAATGCAATAAAGGTTAATGGAGTTTATAGTTTGGTTTATTTGTGGAGCTTTTTTCATACAGAAAATAAACTCTTTTTTAATGTAAATCATCCCTAATTATTGTTATTTAGTTGACAAATAAGATTGTTTATATCTTACCTTCATATACATGTTAGTGACCTACGTCTACACCAGCCAATTACTCTGAAAAGTCTTTATGAATAATATAGTTATTCATTGCCCAAAACAACCACCACCTCTGCCATTTATTTTTATACTCATCTACACTTCTAACAGCACCATTTTCTTTGTGATAACCACTAAGGCCTCCAAAATATGACTGTAAATGACATTTTTGAAGCCTAAGATCAGTATTCCCTTCAATTCACAAACCCTTTGCATTTGACAGCACAATGTTATTGTTGCAGGTGTTTAATTAAGGTAGTTTCTAAATTCAGCTTTTACATGAAGAATAACCTGAATGTGTATAGCAAAAATGTTACACACATACTTTGATCAAATGCTGCCGCATATACCTCTGGAGACCCACTAACACAGATATGGTAGTTCTATGTAACTTTTTTAGAGGTGGTGTAGGGGTGGAAATAATTAAAATGTTACCTTTGCCAAGTAATTCCCAATGTATCCTCACTGGCACTGGGGTATAAATGCCTGCCGTTTTGATTCATGGTCCAGTCACAAATTCTCAGCTGTCAATTGAAACCTAGCAGTCAGATATGGATGGAGCATACTACAGTTTTTAGTACTTAAATGAACACATGCAAACTAGTACTGTACATGGCAAAAATCTTACTTTCCCAAGAAGTAACTTTAGAAAATAAAAGAATACAAAGAAAAATAACTTATTTTGAGAAACAAATGCCTATAGATTTGCTTAAGATAATGCTACTTAATATGATCCTTTATTAATAAAGCATAAAAGAGTAACTAGTGTGTAGCACATAACAATTAGCCATTATTAGATTAAAAACTGAGCTGGAATAAAAGGAAATGTTAATATTCAACAGTGAGATACTTTGAGAAAGGAAATAAAAATGCTGGGGTTTTTCAGGAATGCTCTATATAATGTGTATTGAGTAAAGGTCAAATACAATCAATATCTTCCAGCATGCATTTTGTGAACCATAGAAGACATGCAATTTATAGAAAATTCGCCCAAATTAAACAAACTGTATCCCTTATCTTGCTAATTGAGATGAGTAAAGGTATTTTGTAATTGAAGTTTATTAATCTAGTGTTACTGAAAGTTGTATTACTTAGCAAGAAGTGATAAAATAATCTTATCTTTCTTTAGATCAGAAAAGTAGAATTTAAAATATTTTACTGCATTTTAATATAATGAGGAATGTACTAAATGTTAGCTGAAACAAATTTTTCCCAGATCCTCAAATCATCAGTTCTGCCTTTAAGATTGTTCAAGCAAACCTCTATAGCTCTTTTTATTTAACAGCTGCCTGATAGTGTTAGCAGATTTATTGAAAAGATATGCTGCTTATTTTTGAGTTTAAGAAAGTGAACTTATCTAGCTTGTGAAGAAAACATACATTTTAACCTCTTCATAGTCATGCTTTTATAAATTAATGTTCCAATATACATGTAACAGCACTCCAAATTGAAGATAATATTGCTGAGTTTAATTGCATTTAATGCATTGTAGTTTTCTCTATCCATAATCACAGCCTTTAGATAGTACATGCTACAGCAAACAAACTATAATAAACTGTTTTCACAGGAGCACAATTAATTGCAGTCTTTTCCTGAAAAATACAAATGCTGAGGACAAGACAATATTGCAAACCTGACCCTGTCTGGCTGTTAGACTCATAAGCTTCCTGCTGTTAAGGTCTGAGAAATGGAAATGTTAGTCTTTGATGTTTTCATAGCAATTGTTTCTTGTTTGTTATCTAAAGAACTCCAAGGGACCTTCTAAAGGCCATTAAAAGCATGACTAAACCACATGAAATTAACCAGAAAAGGAAACAGGCAGTCAAAAAGTTTGCTAGAGGTAACTGTGAATATGTTTAAAGAAATGGGTAAGTAAATATTTGATTTAGTCACTATATAAAACAGTGTTCTAAACCTGATTTTCATAGTGAAAGCATAGTAAAATATGTCAGCTCAGTTACTCAATGTACAGTAGATGTATTTCTGCTATATTCCTTAAGAATGTTATCATCTTCACTACCTATGTATATTTTTTTTAAAACTTTATAATTTAGCTATAAATTATATAAAAAGTCACTTCCAGCTGAAACAGAAGACTGAAAGGTTAAACCTACCCTTCCACCTTTTTTTTCATGTTTCACAAAATACAAAATCTATGAGTAAAAGTCAGGCATTAAAAAAATACTAAAATTACAAACTCAGTGTTACCAAATTATTTTATGCACTTAGGTCTAACTCAAAGAACTGGTAGGCACTTAGCTTGCTATAAAACCTAACTGCATTTGCCATTTGGGGGAAAACAGTAAGGGATTACATTTTAGTAAATTAGCTTCTGCACTAAATCACTATATTTTTCCTCCAGTCTGTATGAAAACCTTCCACTGGTAAAGTTAATGTATTAAATTATCATTAAGAAAGCTCCAAAAAGCTTTTCAAACACATTTCATAGAGGTTAGTAATGACATGCTTCTTGTTACATAATCATATGTACTTCAGTGCATATATACCAAAATACTGCAATGTAATAATAGAACATGTGTATTTTATACATATGCTGTAGACACATACATGCCCATGTATATGAAGATCCATGCTACACCAGCATCACAGTTAGTGTAAACTATAGAACTCTTCACTGCACCAACTGTGCCACACTTGCAATACTGACAACACCTTGAAGAACTGCAGGTCTGCACAACTGGTTCTGTGGTAAGCCTGGGACTGCATGAATTGTTCTGAAATATACCTTCCTAACGTTAAAAATTGTTGCTCCACACTCCTCAGTAGGCTCACATAACTGACACATTGTTTTTAGAAATTAACCTGCCTGGAAACTTGTTTGGGTTGGTGTTTTGGTTTGGGGTTTTTTTGTTTGTTTGTTTGGGTTTTTTGTTTTGGTTTGGGTTTTTTTGTTTTTTGGTTTTTGGTTGTTTTTTTAATTTATTTTTTATTTTTTATTTTTATCTCCCTCACATAAAATTTTCTCTCTCAAGTTACTCCTGCTGAAAGATCAGGATGTCTAAGATTTAGAAATATACTGTCAAAAGGATATAGAAATATCACTTCCAAAGTCTGCACTGGCATCCTGTCAGTGTGTTGAGTGCTTTCTGGGTAAAAAGGCTGGAAAAGCTTAAAAGAACTGTGTAAGCCTGGGCTCCATTTGTTGGAAGAAGAAGTCTGTTCACAGCAGCAGTGGGAATCCTGCCCTTGGAGAGTGTCCAGACATCCCAGTAGGGAAAGCCTGGGGGCACAGACCTGACATGAGTACCAAGCTTTAGAAGGATGTAGGACACTTTATTACAGTATTATGAGTGCTATATGTTGTCTGGAGTCATATTGAAAGCTTTCTGTCTAGTTACTGTCCTCAGAGTATCTTAGGTGACCTCTAAAATCATTCCGTATTGTTAGCTGGAGATGAGAAGGCACATTCACTTTCAACCACTCTAAGCCATCTACAAGAGTTATCCTGCCCGACATGTAAATAGAAGAGGCAGGAAACTACTTGAAGGCTACTTGAGAAAACTTAAATTCCTCACTAGAGGGACTTAAATAATCCTCAGGAGACATCTGACAAATGCTAAAAAAATTTACTAATTTTCTCAGAGAAATTATACAAATGCAAAATAAATGACCTGAATTTGCATGTGACTTGCCTTTCTATATCCAGTTTTGTCTTTTTTTAGCAAGGAAAGCCACAGGAACTTCACTTCAATAACACCTTCCATCCACGAAACATTATCAATTATTTTGTCATTTATCTCTCACCTAACTACAAAGGAAAAGAGGATAGATCTGTATTCTGAAGTGGGAATGGATGCCCAGCCATGCAGCAGAGGAGGAATCGTCACAGGCAGCCCAGCAATTTCCTGATGCACTGCCCTCATCCCTATGACACACCCTCCCTACAAGACTCATGAAGAAGCAGAGGATCACAAAGATCACTGCAAACACTTCTCCCAGGAGGGAGTGCAACTCTCTCATTCACCTCAACCACCTTACAGGAAGGGGCCAGAGGCCCAAACAGAAGCAGAGCAGTAGACCAACAAGTGCTTCTGTTCTGTAAAATGTCAGGAAATTGACTTTGTTTTGCACTTTCCAGAGCTGTGAGACTGATGTGAAGTTCTACCCAAGAGCTAGATTTCACTGCAGCTGTCTTCACAGTTTAAATGGCACCTTTCAAGCACAACCATCCTGCAGAGTTTTAAGTATGCAAGTCACACATACATTATAAGCCCATAGGCAAGAGCACAATCTTTAATCATAGTATGAATAATTTTTAGGGGTTAGAATTTAATCAGATTTTGTAGTCTTGTATTTATAGAGGGGCTGTCCAAGACTAACATTCATTTCAAGCTTCCGTGATAGCTAAGCAAAATAGATATATATTTTACAAAGTGTAATAGGAGACTTTGCTAGCTTCTCTTACTCGAGAAAAGCCCATAAAACTTATCATTTGCATATTGTCATTGTTTTGACTGAAACTTCCTTTAAATGTGTTTCCTTTCCAGCAAGTATATGTGAAAGGTGACCTCTTAGCCATTTACATACCTCCCTGGTGATCATGTGACCCAGTTTTACGTCAAACTGTCAATTATGATAAGGGACACAATAAGAACAGTCAGAGTGTTGATAACTTGTTTCCTGAGTTTACTGAGAAGTTCTCTTTAAGAGCCCACTTGTGTTCTTCTTTCAGCCTGCTGCTGAAAGCAAAAGTGACATTGACCCAAAACATTTTGCAAATGAATACTCTGTGTTCAGTGGATATTTAAGTTTGCAAGTTCCATGATGAATAGTATGAAGAGAACTGCATTTTGAACTGTGCAACTCAGTAAATAAAGGATACATCTGGTAAGAACAACTTCCTACTGAGGAGACAGGGAAGACATTCATAGGAAATAAGAAGCCTTCTACAGTTTTCTGATTTTGCATTTTAGAGACCTTTTTACTATGTACATTGAAAATGTCTGACTCATAATTGCAAAAGCTGTATGAAAATAATGAGTACAATATACCATACCCAGAAAGTCCGAGCTCTAGTGAAAACCATACCACAGTGATTATCAGAGTAAAGACTGGAGGAGTACAGTAGCTCCTCAGCAATTGGGCCAGCATTACTTAGCACCATTTACTGTGACAAGAAAGGTCTAGAGGTCATTGTCTTCACAGACCTCAAGGTTTTTCAGTTTATTTATGTTTTCTAATTAAAAATAGAATCCCCCATACAATGCCCCAAGGTGTATAAAACAAGTAAACAGTCAAGAAAGAAAATCTTTCAGTTATTTCATTCATTCTAACAGAAATCTTACAGAAACCATTAATCTGTATTTATAACAAATACAAATGTCTTTGTATGTATCCATCCATCCATCTATCCTTTTATACTGTTTACACAGGTAAAGTGCACAACTAATGTTCTGGCAACTTTCTAGCTTTATTGCCAAAAACAATATAACCTGACTCTAGGGGTCTGTCATTTCAAGAACATAATAAATCCATGAAAGTTGAGGCTACAGAAATGCCATCACAAGTTAATAAAACACAAGAACAGAGACACAAATAGAATCTGGCAAGGAATTGTGTCCACTTGCAGAAGGCTAAATTTTACTGACTTTTGTTTGTTTGTTGCTTTTTCCTCTAGTCTAGGCTTAGAAACCACAAATCTTCAATGAATGTAAATCAGAAAAAGAAAGGGAGAAAAAGGTGTTCCCATATAATTGGAAAGGTTATCCAACCCTTTATTCACAATTTAAGATATTTCAACACAAATGAGTACTGAGCACTAGATTGGACTTCATAAAACAATTCCACCAACCACCAACAGTAAAATTAAGAAAAACTGTCCCTCAGATACTAGCTTTTGTCACTTCCCTTGCCCCTTTTCAAGAAAAGAAAGATGACTGGTCACTATTATTTTGTAACATACAGAGGGGGCTGACATGAATTTTTTTACAACAAAATGACAAGATAGGTGTGACTCTCTATATGCCACTGAAGCAAAGTATGTATTGTAACTATTCATGCCACAGTATAAGAATACTTGGCATTTCAGGGCAGATAATGGGAAGACCCACTAGCAATTGCATCAGAAAGTGGACTGCATAGTTATAATTCCCCAATAAAACCTGGTCTTCCTAACTATCAATGTAACATGCTAAGTAGTGCATATAACACCATATTTTCCCAGTATCTATACCAGTAAAAGCTAACAAACTCTCTCACTGGTCCTATTATGCACTGTCTTTCTAAGTTTTATTCAGTGCTTCCCATCTAAATATAAGTATTCCAGGTCAACTGTACTATAAATTGTTTACTGGAAGTTCTAGAAAGCTATCACTGAGTTAAGATTCTGTGTTCACATGTGTTGCAAAATACATGTGTAATGTTTAAATTTATTGTGGTTACTGTAATTTAAATGGGCTCCACAATGGTTCTTTTTAACAATAAAAAGTATGCAAGGGTACATGCCAATATTTCTCATAACCAGAGAGAATAAATCTTCATAAAGACTCCTCCAATGAGGTAAAAAATGTACCAGTGACAATATTTATTCTTGAAGGGTCAATGTACATTACAGGGTATGGTGAATATTTAAAAGACCTCTCTGGAACTAAAACCACTGGCTTTCTAATTTAGAATTTCTCTCCAGTAATACAAAATGATTGATTGCCTTTATTTCATGTATCCCTTGATTTTTCTTTTCATTCATCATGGGCTGCTTTAAACCAAATGCATTTAAAATCTGCCACAAGAAGAGTGGTCTCTTTTAAACTGTTGTAAAGTAATGAAAGGACATAGTAAATCAATCCCATTTCTGCTTTACCAACGGATAACCTTTGCTCTACTGAAGTTGTTTAGACAATCTCAGTGCTCTACCTCACTTTCTGGGTAATATATGTATATGGCACTGTCATCTCCAACATGCCTTTAGAGCTGAGTGAAGGTAACTAATTAATTAGAAACTTACTTATACATACTTTCATATTCATATCTATCCATCTGAAAAACTTTGTTGTAAAGTATTCTGTTCTTTCAAGTGGTTTCAGCTGTACATTCTATTCATTAATTTCCTACACATGTATAGGCATACATAGACACACACAAACACACTCAGGCAAGCTCAGACATGTCCATTGCATATATTAGAAGAGAACAGAGAATGAACAGCAATGACAATAACACAACTTTTAAATTTACTGTATGGCTCATTGCTCACCAATTAGTGCTCTTGATTTAATATAATGAGACTATTAAGTAATATATTTTATAAGCAAGAACATTAACAAAGTGGCATTGAATAATTCACTCAGAAGTGCATGTGAGATGTAACTTAGTTTCCCCTCTCCCCTAAGCCACCTGGCCAATTGTTTTACCAAGAAGAGGAGTTTAAGACGCAGTGCATGTAAATGCCAATGACCCTTGAGATCCCTCTCACTTTCATATTCAAATGACACAGCTGAAATTTTGAAACCTATTTCTATCTGCAGAAAGCCAAAAATAATTAGATGATGCATAACATAAGCAATGCATGCTTTTTATGTCACAAGCTCATCGAGGAGAAATTAAATCCACTACTTTCTGGCATGCGACAAAAGTTTGTAAGCCTTTCAGTGAACTTGGAAGAAGGTGGAATGGCTTAGGCAGTAGCAAATTTTCAGAAAAAATGGTGTCCAAAAATATGGAGTGAAAAAAAATGTTGCACATTCCGAAATTAACTGGATGCCAGAGATGTTTCAAAGGATACTGTGTAAAACTTCTCAAGAAGTCCACAAATTACATGCACTGGGCTTAGAAAGAGACATTGTGTGTGTTTTAAAACACAATAAACATATACTGTGTATGTTTTAAAAAGAACCATGTTACAGTAATTGCAAAACATTTCATAATGCAAAAATCTTGGAGAGGTTAAAAACCCCCAACAAAACTATGCCAGAAAATTTACTGAGAAATTAATGGTTGGCAAACCCACTAAATGTAATTTGGTATTTTCAGAATGTACAGATGTTAGCAGTTAGGTCTCACTAGTTAAAAAAAAAAAAAAAAAGTTGGCAAAGCACCAATTACTTTAAACAAACTATCATCTTTATGATTTTCTCTGAACTCTGCATGTGGTGACCTTTAAAACGGACATACTGCCACCTTGCCCTCAGAGTGGGTAGAGATAGGGAGTTCCAGCTGAAGCAGAACAGGTAGGTTTTACTGAAAAATTAAGCAGCTATGTGTACAAACTATTGACAGGAAACCAAGTCTGACAAAAAATACATTACAACAAATACCAAGGACTACTTAAGAGCCCCTTTCTTACTGCCCCAATCAGCTTTTTTCTTTATAAGATTTTACACGCTGTGAATTTCAAAGTACTCTACTGCTAAAATCTAGGAGGAAAACAAACACACATCATAAAGTATGTTAAAATTCGAAAGGGTCTGAATTCATGTTTGCTACTATTAATGCATCATTTCTGTATGTGCATGGCCTTGCTACTGACTGCAGCTAATTTATTTGTATGCCATTAATCTCGGCTGTATATTTTTACAGTTTGGGTAAACACTTCATTTGCATTAAATTTACAGCATTAATGAGATGTGAAATTCAAAATGCTACTTGAAACATAAATGATATAAAAAACTAGAACAAAAACATGGGTTTATCGCATTTGAAATCAGCAGACCAATGTAAGCCTATTAAACTATAAGTGATGATGTATTGCATTGAGAATTTGGTTTTATAACTGATCTTCTAAAACTAAAATGAAGAAATGTGTTAATATCTGGGGGGAAAAAACAAAATAGTTTGCAAATAATAAATTGGACTTTTTGCTTTGGAAATTTTGATTATTTGTTTAAACAGATTTTGAAATCAGTATTTGTTTCTTAAACAGCCCATTCTCCTTCCTAAAATTCTATTAAAAATTACATGTATGAGCTCTTGAAAAAATAAAATAATGAAAGAAATACGGTTAGCAGTTCCTTAAGATGGCACAAATCTAAGAAATACAGCATAGGCTAAACTGGTATTTCTCAAAAGGTTCAGTTGCTTTGAATAAACTTCATCTTCACATGACAAATACTGAAACCCTTAGTATTTCAATCTAGTCCAAGATAACAGTGGCAGCACGTAGGAAGGTAATATCGCAAAGGTTTCTCTATATTATCACACCTATGTGAAACTTGCCCACCTGTTGCTGGTGTAGGAAGGATGGGTCTCTTGGGCTTAGTCCCACATATCGATTGGCTTGGGATGTGCCTGAGGCTGTGTAGGCTGATTAAGGAAGAACAAAACATATTGATAAAAATACCAACCTATCATAACTATTACCTTGTGCAGGTACAGTACAAATACAAGAGATCCAGAGTTATGATTTTGCATTATATAGGATGTGTCTGTGGTTTTCCTTTAGTTAAGAGGAAGCAAAAGAAAAATTGGACCATATATAGGAGGGCATGTGTAAATTCCTATAAACTTCAATGGAAGCTGCATGTGTAAATTATAATGATGTCTTTTTTAAATAATAGTTCCTCTGATTAATTTTTGTCAAGTGATGTCTTAACATATTTATTTGAAGGAATCACAATTCTTATTTCCATTATACCAATCTAAAGCAGCTGTGAAATCACTGAAGTTATAATGTTGAGAGAAAATATGAATACACACATTATCTTTACTGCTGTGAAGGCCCTGGTTAAAAAAAAAAAAAAAAAAAAAAAACAACAACAAAACCAACTCAACTGTAAAAGAAAAACAAAAATTAGAATAAAAAGTTTGGTTTACTTTTGTGTCATGAAATTAATCTTTACAGGCCTTTGGAAATGGGATGTAATCTGATTAGGATTTTCATAAGAAAGGAGCTAATTCTTACTGTGCAATATTATAGCAAATATTCAACTCTCCCATTCATCAGAAAACAACTTTTTCCCATGGGAAAAAATTTAAAGAAGTCTCTCACTGTCTGCTGCAGAAGATTGAAGAAATACAGAAAACTGAATAAAGAGAATGACATGTGATGCTGGGATTGGCTACTGGATATGAAAACTTCACCTGCAGGACACATTCCTGTCTGGTCTCTGCCAGTAATCCCTAAAAGCCATTCCCCAGCCATGGCTTTTATTGGCACATATCTAGTTACTTAGGTGGTCTTAACTTAGGTCAACTGCCCAGTGTGGAGATGTCCATACTGCAACTTGAACCATCTCAGCCTGGAAACTTGTTGGCAAAATAGCAAAGACTCAGTAGCAAAAACCACTAAAAATGAACAGACACATACAAGTATACAAGTGAGGAGCTGGATGGGAGTACTTACTGAACTGGCCTGATAGTACTAATGTCACACAGGAAATACAAGCAAGAAAAATGCATTAATTTAAAAAAATTAAAATGTTATATACAGTAAACTGGCTTTACCAAAAAACTGCCACAAAAATTAATAACCAATTATTAGAAGGAAATTATGGTGGAGGCCACAGGGTTCTCCAAATATGATTAAAGCCTGCCGTTCTTTCTTATTCAAATCAATTCTGCTATTGCACTTCATAATGACAAGGAGTGCAAGTCATTTAATTGCCATTTAATTCTCGACAGACTGAATAATCATGATAACTTGTTGGTCAAGCATAAATTATAGAAATATATTTCTATATATATTTTCAACCAATCAATCAGTTTTTGCAAATAAAAGTAAAACTGTGCCATAAAGTATATTCAGTGTTGACTTTCCCATTAAGTTAACTTTAGCACTTTCTGAGATGGGTCTATTAAGGCTGATCATACAGTTTATATGTATTCATATATATATTCATAATTTATATATCAGCAGGACCTGATCCCTCATTTTTTGCTATTTTCTTCATCAACAAGCTACATTTCTTCATGTTCTTTGCTGTTACAGTAACAAACCAATTTCAAAGGGCTTTACCAGCAGGTAGGCTACTGCAATGCTCTGAAAATCGTAGCACCCTAAGCATTAAGCACTTATACACACCTGTTTGGCACATTAAAATAAAAGTTGCACATAGGGATTTTTTTCTGTGATTATTTGTGTGCTGTAATGGGAAGAACTGCTATGGAAGCACGAGAAGGCCTTATTTCATTATCTAAGCTAAGATGTTTTAAGGTTCAGTGGGAATCAGATACCCAAGTTCCCATGAATTGGACAAGAAACTGAGAGATGATTTAATTGAAAAATACAGTCCTAACCATTTCCTTACTAGTAGGATAACGAACAGATTAGGTATGCTTTCCTGTAATGTTGAATATTAAGATCAGATTACCACAAAACATCTCAACACAGTCCTGGCACTGTGTGTGCTCGTTTTGCCATTTGTATCAGAAACCCTGACCTCATCTGACGCAGATATCGAGGCCAAGCAAGATCATGACAAATAGCAAACAGAACAAAACCATCAGTACTTGAAACTATACATGAACTCAGCATTCTCAGTTTTCTGTTCTGGTCTAAATGTTTAGAGCAACAGTTCCCTTAAAAGGTGCAAGAACTGTACCACAAACCACCAGTGGGGCTACAGATACACTCTACCACTCTTAACAAAACATCTTTACTGAAAGAGCAGCTGAAATGCTTCCAGAAATCTATCCATATAATTATTTGTTTATACTTAAACAGTAGTTTGTCCTAACAATTTATCCTTTTATAATAAATATAAATTCTTAAACTCTTTTTTCTCTTTTACACATTGACAACACCTATGCACAAGTCTCTCTCGTCTGCTTCATATTCTAGTGAAAAGATTTCAAGGAGTGTGACACCTGAAAGGCCTACAGTTTATGGTCTCCATTAACACAGATCAAAAATTATCGACTGGATTTGCAGTTCAAATATTAAACAGGTCTAGAAAAAATTATTTTAATGTAACAGGCCTAAAGAGTCTCTTTTTAGACTGGTAAATTTTTTTCCGAACTGTATATGGAAGTGGCTAAAAATTTTCACTTCTCTGAAAAACAGCAGCAACACTGGCCATGTCAAGTCCAAGTAAAAGTACTACAGAATACAGAATTTAGTAAAAATGCAACATTCTGCACAACTGAACATGAGTATTTGGAAGAGATTAGCCTAGATATAGTAACAACTTTTCTCTTATTTCCAAAAGTGCAATTCCATTGAAGATAATAGGACAAATACCATGGTCCTATATGCAATAAAGAGCTTAAAACACTGAAGATGGAGTTTGTTATTTTCTATTAAAAAAAAAAAACAAACACAAAACAAAAAAAAACCAACCACGAACAGTGGATCTAGCATCCCTTGCGGCAATGAAAAGGATTTTTCTTTTGCCACAGTAGTTGTTTCTGAGAAAAATGACACAACCTATATTAACATGCAATTGTCATAGCTCGGATTCTGTATGCATTGCAAACAGGCTTGATTTCTGTAGGAAAGTTCATTGAGGAGCAAATTATCCAATCTCTGTTTGTAATTCCATCTGTGGGTCATTGTAAAACCTTGCTGTCTTGGTGTGCTTCTCAGTGTCTTAACAATGTCCACCTCAGATGAACAAACACACTTTCCTTTCCTTAAACAGTGGTCAAATATGCAGGCTTTTCCCTTTCATTTTAGTTGTCATGTCACAAACTTTGTTTTATGTAACATGATCCACTGGCTGAAATTAGCAGAGGAAAAGCTTTGCAGTCACATTTGCTCTCCATGTAAAATGATGAGCACCCACTTGGTCAAATAGTAGGAAAAGGCGCCTTTTTCTGGCCTTAATTTGAAATCATATCGAATCTTTGATGGACATTTTTTGTTTCCTAAAGAAATACTTACTGGTTGCTGTAGGTGAAGATGCCTCACCTTCAGTGGATGTAGTGATGGGTTTAGTATCTGTCATGGTCAGGGCCACAGGTCGCACCGCACTGTGATGGGGAGAGGGTGCCAAAACTGGAGTAAAATGGCCAGGCACTTTCCCTACTACTTGACCACTGCTGTTAGGCTACAAAACAAAACCAAAAGAATGCCTTGTGAAATATATACATTGCATTTAAGGAACCTACCTACCTATCCTAGGGTTTTCCAAAATGTCCATCGTTGCAGTACCTGCATTTTGGAACGCGTTGTTATAGCGATGCCATGAATTTATAGGAGATATCTGCCATCAGGCAGGTCTCTTCTCTGATAGGTAGGACATGCTCAAGTGGTAGTACTTTTTGGTAAGGTTTCTCTCCTTTTGGGTGCAACATGTGTCAGATAGTTTCAAAATATATTTGCTGTTCAGGCAGTGTCTGTGTACCAAAACCCAGCAGGAGTAAACTAACCAGGTAGAGGCCGTAATGTATGAAATATGAAGAGTAAATGACTGATGTGAAACCCCTGTTTTCACATGCCATACTACTCTGGCTTGGAGGATAAAGACTTGTCCACAGAGATTACTCATACTGGAAGGCTAACAATTCATATGCTTGGGAACTTGGATTTGGATACAATGCACTATAATACACACATCATAACATCTGGCCAAAAACCACCTACCAAAAACACAGAAGTGTTTCATAATGGGAACTTTCCAAGTCAAGAGCATAATAAGTAAGAACACTTCTTTCACAGATACAAGAGGCGGTCTGTGTATGACCTTATGGTGCAGGTCATAAGGTAATATGCTACTTTATACATTTAGGCACATCTGAATTTGGCAAAGTTGACTAGTAAATGTATATGTTTATCCAGTGTTTAAACATGTCTTAGACATTCTGCAAGACTGTAAATACTCCAAAGGTAAATAACTTGCAATAAAAATCAGTTAGTAGTAAATGTTTTTTCAACAGTGACTGATAACTTCTGTCTTAAACTGATGGTGTAATATATGAACCACAAGCAGTTTAAAAAAGCCGTACAAATTATGAAATACGGGAAATCTTTTTATCTGAAGGATCTTGTCAAATTTAAAATAACTTGAAGACATGGACTGATAAAGGACCCAATTCAACTGATTCAAGGAAAGGTTAAAAGAGGTAGGCAAGACTTTGGTAATGAAATAATAATCAGACAATTAGTGAGACAATAATGAGACAATTAGTGCAAGTATGTGAGGAACATAAACACATAGAAGAGGAAGGAATTATTTGGAAAATACAGGAAATACATACTTGGGGTAATGGAATGAAATCAAGAAGGAGGAAATTTAAAACTAATAGCAGGAGAAAAGTCCTGGCAGTGTGATCTACTAGACTTTGCAAATGCACCCAAGGGAGAGTCAGAGACTCTTGTTTAGGACATCTAAAACTAGGCTATCAGAAAACACTAGAAAATATAAGTGCAAATGGAAACCAATCTGGTGCCCGCAGGAACACTGAAAAGTTAGCAGCCTATTTCCCTCCTTAAAATCACAAGCCTTACAATGAAAAATAACAGCAAAAATGCACACTAAACGGCCAACAAACTATCCCTCTAAATGAGAAAAAGTCACTTCCTAAACATAACTCTTGTCAGTAAGATCTGCTTGCTATGTTGGACTGGATTTTCACAATGTTTTTAGGAAGCCTGCTGCAGAGGTAAACCCTCTCTCCTGTCTTGGCACCTCAGCTGTCCACACAGCCTGCTGGAGGGAATACCACCTCTCAGTTGGATCAGGTAGCTCCTAGGTGAAGTCACTGACCTATGACCAGAGGGCTACCTTAGGAGCCTTAGCTTATGTGGTGTGCTAACATCACAAAAACAGTTGAGAATCCCTTACCAAAATCATCAACTTTTATTAAAAACTAAGAAAGTAGATTTCATGGAGCGTGTATGGATTGAAAAAAGCAGTATCATCAGCTTAAAAAAGTAGCTGTCTCCAAAGACAGATTGGAATAAATGAGAAAAAATTAGAAGGACAGAGCAGGAGCCCAAGAAGATTACAGCACTATATTGTTCCATAGTGATCCCAATCCAATGGCTCACATGGAGTCCACCTTAGCCTTTGTCCATATTGTCCAAATGAGCAAACCTTTTCCTTGTTCATTTATAAGACAAAGATTATACTTATACCTCATTCTCTTGTAAACCAGGTTTTTCCCTGTGCAATACACAACGGCAGTGCAATACATCACACACTTCATCCAATTAGAGGGTGAAATCCTGTCCTTGTTGACATCCACGGGGAATTCACTAGTGATTTTAGCAGATACAGTTTGTGACTCCCCACACACATTTCTTTTCTTTTTTTTTTTTGTTTTCCCCAGTTTCTTCTTAAATGGTAGGTATTTCTCTAAATCTGTCTCACACATAAAACTAAGTGCAGACACTAGGTTTATTTTCAATTCACACTTCTATGATTATCTTTGGAAACACAAAACTAAAAGCTTTTGAAATAAAGATCTATATCCTGGACTGTGATAGTTGATAGCAGTAGAAGCTCATGAACACTGACTGTCTTGCATGTCTGAAGTCCTCTGACCAGCTTTAAGTTTTTAGTTCAAAGAGGGAAACCTTCTGCTCAGAAGCAGCTCCTTCGTAATCTTATTGAAAACTGCCATCTAGAAATAATTTTGGTGACCTGTTCTCCTTTTAACTTTTACAATTATGTCAAAAGATATTTTGGCATGGAAATTACACATATATATTTGGAGAGTATCTGCTTGAATTACAAGTACCAATATCTGCAGCACATAATTTAATAGAAATTAATTTTGTCCTTAGATAAAATCAGTTCTAGGTTCTAGTTCTGGTTTTCTCTGAAGAGATTCTTACAGACAACTGCATTACAGGTGAAAAATCAACTGTTACCATCAAATAGGGTATCAACATGCCTATCAACGGATTCACAGAGAGATGATGCCTGAGGCATAAACCTCAAGCAAATTCCACAGAGGCAGCTGTGTTAGATAAACAAGCTGTGCACTTGAAAATCGGAGAGGAAAAGAAGTAAACACAATAAAGGTCTGGCAAATTCAACCCCGATTTGTGCAGGTATACGTTTTTCTACTATTGGATTGGAGACTAATTTGATTTTCAGATGTGTTACATCTTCAAGTTTTTTAATCCACATGATCTTGAATCGCCACAGTTTAATTCATTCATGTGCCCAAAGCCACAGATGAGTTGTATTTGCTGTACTAGCTGTAACATAACTCAGAATATCAGAACTGTTCCTATCTGATGGTGTGCACTGTAAACACTTTCAGTTAATCCTCAGGTCTGAAGTCTGAACAGAAACCTGTAACAGACACTAATATGGACTTCCTTAAAGTCAGAATTCACTACACATTTTTTCCCTGATGGGATTTTACTAACATATTTATAATCAGGAATTAATTAACCTCCTTTTGGACTTCTGTTTAAATATATGCCCAAATATCAGCACATTTACCCTTAGGTATTCAGTTACATTTCAGGACAGTGTTTTGTCATATAGATCACTATTTCCAGTGTTACAAAAGTCTTTACCATAGTAAAATGGCAACCACTAGCATTTACAGAAATTTCACTTACCTATTAAACAATTCACATAAAGTGTTTGTTACTTAAATTTTCAAATATATTTGGTGTCTAAATCTTCACCTTTTTTTAACAAAATAATTGTAATGATGACTTTAAAATCCAAATTAAATAAATCAAATTCTCTTTGGAATCTTAAATGTATAGCATCTTCAAATAAACAATTAAGAAAGGCCAGAAATCATCTTAATCTGTGCACATTCTAGATATATATTAAATTCCACCTAATTACTACACTTGAACAATGATATATTTGCATCTCAAACCACAGGTTTTTAATAGAAATTCTGTGTTTCACAAGAAATTCTGTGTTTCACTTTATTATAGCCAGGTGATCAACTGGATGCAGTGTATTTAGAAATACTGTCACCCATTTCCTCTCAACAACTCCACTCACTTATAATGACAAAGTTCAGATACTATGCTGGACAGTATCACTACAAAACCATATAACAGTGTAGTTTTGACACCACTGATTGAATTAATTTTGTTGATGAAGTTATAGAAAATCCAGTTCTGCACATTTTGGTTCTCTGTTGATATACCAAATATCTTACCTTCACATTTGTCTACACATGCATAAACCTGAAGATCATAGTTCACAGATCATAGTAACAGATCATCAAAAGTTCTGTCTGTGAGCCCATCTCCTTGTGCTCTGTGGTATCCACAGAGGGTGATCGATGCTTCAGAAAATCTACAAGTAAAACAAACCAGTAGTATTGCTCATTTTTCTAACTCTCCCCCCTCTCCTTTTTGCCTAGGGTACCCTAATGCTAAATCACCTGTAAAAATCCTATAGCCATGTTATTATTCCAATGGAGACAGCTCACTGGTACAGCAGACATTTTCATGTGTGGAACACATGGAACTATTACCTATTTGAGTAATAATAATTATAATGCCTTTGAGACTCTGCTAAACATAAGGGAATGGCATTATAAAAGCACCACCAGTGAGCCTGTAGAAGGCATTTTAGGGCAGTTCCCCCTCAGGTTGAACCTGGTAGGTTCCAGAAAGCATTTCCTTAACAAGAAGCAAGACTATACAGATTTCCTCTCTGCTATGGAACACTGTGATAGCAACAGAAATGTACTTTGCTTTTTGATAGTGCCCCTTACCACTTTTCATAAGGATGAATCTCCCTAGTTTCTGTACTAGGAATCTGAGTAACTCATTGCGACAGCACATCTTACACAGACCTCACTCTGAGATGTCATACAAAAGCTTTATCTGGTGTGACATGCAGCTACCTGCTTGAGGAATTAGCCTTAGAAAAAACATGTTGTTGCCAATTCTTGGCTGACAAAATCCCTGCTGTACTACTTTCTATAAGAAATCAAGGTGCTGCCTTTGATCTATAAAGCTCTTAGTCTCATACATTTGAGAAAGCCTTGATGAAATGCTGCTGAAACTTACAGTAACTGCACAGTTTCAGCAATCCAGGTTTAGACATGGATACCATAAGATATTCTAGAGTTCTCCATCTTGAAGCACAATTTTACTGAGCTCGTAAAATCTGAGTTATTTGTCAACAGGTAGAGCACAAGGAAATACCCATCTTTTCTTGTATATTTGCCTTAACAACAGGGTAAGTTTGTGTGACAAAAGCATGGGAAAGGAAATCCCTTTGTAGATAAATGTTCAAAAGATATCTTTATGTTACGTGGTATTTCGTGCACTCTGAAGACTTATACCTATGCATTTAGAGCAGATTATAAAAAGTAATCTGTTACAACCACAATTAATCTTAAAATGCCTTGCTGATAGATAGCATTAAGCTAGGATTCTTTTGCTCTCTGCTTTCAAATCACAATGCACGTTGTTTTATTTAATCTCCAATAATTTCTTAAAAATTACAAGTAAGGATTTGCCCAAGAAGCTGAAAATAATTAAATGTCAACAAATAAAGGTGCTAGCTATACCGAAGAAACCACATTGCTTTTTTTGGCTTATTCTGCTAGTACTTTCCCAAGAACAAACAGGAAACCCTTTGACCAGCCCAAACAGAGCCTCATAAGATTCTCTTCTCAATGCTAAATGACTGTAGCAATTGTATTGAAGAATGACAAAGCATCTGCCTGATGTTCTTGAAGAGTGTGCATGTCTTTCATTGAACAGAAACTTGAATATCCCAATCAATTATGAGAGGAAAATAAGTGGCTTCCAGAAGCAATTCTCAAGCACTTCAGATATTTCTGTCTTCAGACAAAGATAAACCAACAAAAAAAATAAAGCTGCAAACTAACCCACATTGCAAGAAAGTACATTTTACCAGGCCCAAGAATTTTAGTCACCATACAGGTAGCAGTTCACTCTGACACCACATATGTAAGCCATTTATTGTAAGAGAAAAAGGGTCCAATATTTAACTCCTCCAAACTGGAGTCAGTTTTACCATATCACTGAAAGCTGCATTTGTCATCAAAAATATCACAATATTTGATCTAAGGTTACATGTGAACTGTGCCCTTAAAATCCATATTCAAAGAGTTTGAAAGATTGTCTACTTCTGTTTGCTTGGTTCAGTCAGAAAAAAAATTCTCACTGATTACAGGATATTCTTCAGCAAAATTCACCTCAACTGTTTGCTTTCCCATTATTTCCTTCATCACATTTGCTGATCCTTCTTCTGTGATTCACCACACTTAACCAGGAAATTTTTCTGTTTAATTCAACAGTGCATTAAGTTGGAGGTTTTGGTCTTGTTTTCAGCCACACAAGTGGTGTTGTGCTTGATTTGTTCAGGTTCATTGGAAGCCTGATTTTGATACTATAAGCTGATTCATACACTCTTGAGTATTAAAACATTTCAAGTGTGCACAGTGCATATTTATGTTTGTGTGTATGTATGTGTGTGTGTGCACACATATACATAGACACAAAGGTAATGTTTCCTAGGATTAAAAGATTCACCCATCTGGAATCATTCAAAAAAGGAAATACATGCTTGAAATCTGTGGTAGTTTTGAAAACCTCAACACACTGTAGATCGATAAACACCGTAGGTGGGTTAGACCCATATGAATAAATTAGTTTTTCCTGAAACTTACAGTAACTAGTATCAGTTGAAGATACCTACACACCATCATAACACAGATACATACTCACACACACAGTCTTAACAAGTAACAGAAATGCATAGCTAAGAAGAAAAGCATTGAAATAAGTACAATTAAAAGGGCTCAGCTGAAATTCTTAATCAGTGGAAAGTGCAGCAGTTCTCAAAACCCTGGGAACTTTTCAGAGTACTAGTTAGAGACAAGTCCAGCTCTATAGCTAACAAGGTTCATTTCTGTTCAGTACATTTGTTTGTTTATTCTCCAGACTGAGCAGGGGATAAAAAGCAGATATTCATGAAACCGACAGCCACAGCTCCCTTTTGTTTAGAATCATCCATTGTTGAATCATTTTTCACTGCAGCCAAAGGGCCTGTTTGAACTTCCTGACTGTTCATCACACATAATTTGGAGTATTTAACATTATGTCAAGAAAATTGCCCACTGCTTCCCACCATGGAAACCTATGGGAGCTCTATATCTTTAAACTAATTTTACTTAAAGTATTCCACTGAATAGCATGACTGTCTCACTATAATCAGTGCAGCAGTAATGTAATTAATCTCAAAATTGCTGTGGGGATACAAGGCATCTCAGTTGCCTGTCGTAACAATCTAAATTAGCGTATTACTGAAAGATGTTGGGGAGGAACAGTTCATTTTAGGTAAATGCTGTCAGGGTATCCATCCTTTCTATTTCTACAGATGAAATTGAAATGATCATCATAGTTCTCCTTTTGAAATCCAAATGAGTATGTTTTGAGGTGGGAAAGTATAATTAAATTTGATGTGGTATTCCTACAGATGCAGTTTTGCATTTTATAATAATTAAATTTGTCTGAATAAAAATTCATGTTTTATTTAGAAAAGAAAAACTGGTTTGGCTCAAAGCATGCCATTGTATCAGAACAATTCCCTTTTGTCACTGAAACTTCACAGACGGTTGATTCTTTTCCTAAGCAAAAAATTAATCCTGCTGTTTTACTCTTTGTACAGTCAAACTTCAAGTGTTCTATTTAGGGATATTTTGACTGGGCATGCAACTACTCCAATGTACAGCAAATACCAGAGGTGAACTCCAAGGAATTAAATTTTAAAAAGATTCCACTGATAATGGTGATTAATTAAAATAAAATGTGGTGAATAGCTGATGCAGATGCCTGAAATGGCATACGTGGTATTATTTATCCCATTCCCTCTTCTCAGGAACTAAATCCAACATCAAATGAAATTAAAAACCTTGCCCTAATATAAAGGCTACGAAAGCTGATTAAAGTGTTAAATTTAGGCCAGTTAGGTCTGTTATTCCCTACGATAGCACGATACAAGCGTATGAAGTGTTTTCAGATTGTTACTGCTCTGAAAAAAATCAGCAGAATAAAATTTTATCTTTTAGGGTCCAAAGATTAGTCTTTCAACCAGAGGTAAGAGAAGAGAGCTGGGCAAAAAATTGAAGGCGTAACTCCTGCTCAGTTAATATACTCCCCAATGTTAAAATTGTAAGATAGCGCATTTTTCAACTGTCTGAAAGATAGTTGGGGTTTTTTTTCAGTAATGATCCAAAGCAGAACACGAAACAATCCAGAGAGATTATTACCTAATCTGCTCCTTTAACATATATAAGAAATCAAAATGTAAGTAAAACAAGCACTGAATAATTAAAGAAAGGCATAACAGTAAGGGCCTGATTTAATTTGCATAATTTTTCCCCTAATAGTGCCTAATTAAGACATCAGTTTAAAAAAAAATCCAACAGAACTCTGAGATTTTCTGCACTGAATTAACGCTAAGGACTTTTAATGGGTGTCTTAATTAGACTTTGTTATTCATGGAAATTTTACACAAATTAAAATCAGGTCCTGCATGCAACATTCCCAGCTGAGTCTCAGCAAAAATGCTATATGGGACTGAAAGACTTTTAATCCATGTGCAATTTGTATTCTAAAGTCGACATACTTCATGATCACTTTTTGGTTTAATTTGCATTAATATTGTAACTAACAAAAATCACAGTTAAGATTTCTCCCTTCAAAGTAAATGTTAGTTTTTTGGACCCACTCGTTCTTTTGGTTTTGGTGTTTGGTTTTTTTGGTTTTTTTTTTTCAATTAAATGCATAGAAAGTCATGCAGCTGGACCAGGGAATTAGCCCAAGGGGACAATAGCTACCATGACCTTCTGCACAGCTCAAAGGGTCTGTATCTGTTATTCAACATAGAAAGTTTGATTCAGTCTCAAGTTCTATTGCTGTTGTGTCCAAAATGAATGCTGAAAGGCCTGTCATTATTGATGAAAAACAAAACAAATGAAGCAAACAAACAAAACACAAAACAAAATGCTGTCATAGCAACCCCTTCATCCCTGATAAGACAGTCCTTCCAAAGAAAACTAACTCTTAGGAGCAGAAAAACCTGACCATTGTCTCTTCAGTTTACATTCCAAAGGCTCTTCCAGAAAACATGCTAAAGTATAGGCAACAGGGCTCCACAAGAACCTTTCAGGCAAGGCATCAAAAATAAATAACAGCATGAGCAGTAAAGATTAGATTACACTGATGTTGGAAATATTTCATGTATTGACAGACCAGGTCTCAACTGCGGTTTATCCTACAGTGCAGATCACATGCTAATGCTATGTGCTGGTGCTCTCATGGAAAGTAGTTCTGCACACAATCCTTCACAAATTACTTCACTAATGAAAAACATGTTAATTTTCTATATCAGACACAAGACTGAATCAGCAGGTGCCAGCAATGCATCTGCTACTGCATGTTCTCTACAAAAGGAAGGAAAAAAGAATTTGTGTGGCGGTGCTATGCTCACTACGCAAAGAAATTTCAGGTGCCTATGGAACCAGGTAAGCATTACCTTGGTAGAGTTTATTTTCATTGCCAGCCTATAAAATATACCATGTCCATGTGTGTGCTTGGATAGATATATATATATTTCAACGCACTCCTTGCTGCATCCTGCAGGAATTTTGCCTCTGGTGGCCTGCATGAACAGAGGCACCAAGCCTGCAAGAGGGATGTAAGACCAGGACTGCCCTGTTACTGCTGCCAGGTTGTTCCATCAGCGAAGTATTTTTCTTACACTTGACAGAGCAAATGGATATGATTACCCTGTACCCTTTATTCAACCGTGATTAATAGAAGAAGTTGTATCACTCGTATACCATCTCCCAGATTTCTCTGAGACCGGAACTGGAGAGATACCAGTCTAGATGCCCTGGAATTCCTCATAGGATTTGTTTTGGAGGGTTCGCATCTTTTTACAGTACCTGGCTAGTCTGCGGGCTGGACGGGTCGTAAGAAGGTACATAATTCTTCAGAGTATCCTGAGGATTCAGGTGGGGAGGATATCTGATCGTTGGATGAGAGAAGTAGCTAGATGGGGCAGGAGGGAGAATAGCTTGTGCTGGAAATGGCAATGGTGAAGGTGGAGGTGGAGTTCTAGTTGAGATGACTGGAGAAGATAAAATAAAATTAAAATTACTTCGCATCTTGTTTCTTCTAAAATTCTTCACCTCTGTGTTACAGCAAGAAAAATAAAAAGTCAGTTATAAATCAATACACTGCACTCCTGTTTTACGGCATTTTTATAGAAAAACCTACAGTTCCTCCCCTCACATAATCCCAGGAAATGGAAAGTGCAACTGTTTCAAATTTGTAAATACTGTATCTTGTTTTGGGTTTATGAGTTACGCCATCATATTTAATCCATTTTTTTCTTTAAGCAGTTACGGTTCTTCAGCATAAAAGGCATTTCAACTACACAGTTGTACTATCTGGAGCCTAAATAAAGAAATCAAACACTTGTTTACAAAATAAACCCCACACTTTTATTCAAAGCACTACGACACTGAGGAAAGTAAACAAGACCCAAGGAACAGTTAGTGATTCCTCATTGCATTGCACTCTATCTACCTTATCTGGGGACAGGGGAAAATGTCTACTTAGCAACATTGCTATGAATATTTGCTGACCTTTACGAAAAAGCTAATGAACATCCAACTTCAGATCCTGGAAACCAATCCATCTAATAACATCACCTCTGACAAACAAAGAAGTATGTACACTTTTCTTTTTTCTTTGAATTCTCTTTCTTTCCATTTCCCACAAATATACACTTCTCCAGTTATAATCTGTGTGCAGTGTCTAAACAACTGGCATTGTTTTCATAGTGAAAGGAATGTACAGTACATCTTTCTACTGCCAAGTTGTTGGTCTGAAAGTGAAGAATTTTCTTCTACCACACTCCACAAGAACACAGTTTCCACCTTTACTACACATCAAGAGAGCAACTACTTGGTGTAGTAAAAAAGAGCTACTAAGTTCAATGGAAATGGAGAAAAGACATTTTCATTTTTATCAGTGGAAAAGTGCAAAATTGAGTCTTTATAAGCAAGGTTTTTTTATAAACTGCTCATGGTTCTCTACTGTATCAGCACAAGGTGCTTTTCTGGACCACCTTTCACATCTCGGGTTTTCCAGCTTAATTTTTAAAGCTGACATAGCTATTTTTTGGGTGCTGCTCACTGACATAATACAACAGCCTGAAAAAAATAAAAATAACTTTACTAGCAAGCATTTAGCTCACCTGCAAGTTAGGTTATGACTCAAGTATGTGTATTTGAAAACTGTACTCTAAAGTAAATATAAAGATATACGCACAAGTATAGGATCAAAAATAATTTCTTTGGGGCAGACTCATTTTAAACACAGCCCCACCAAGTTCAGTTTAAACATAAAATGCTATTTATTGCTCTGGCATGTCACAGCTGTGCAAAACAAACTCAAATGCACAGAAATCTATACCTTTCATTTCCCCCATCACCTCTGATGTGCTTGAGTATTTGCTGTTAGTGGAAACCTTACAGGGACCAGAATGAACACAGTCCCATTTTCATAAAACAAAATAAGTGGATGTTAAGGGGAAAATAGTCATTACACATTAATTGAATGATAGGAACTAGAAATCATGGAGAAATCATAAAACAGAAACTTCTCAAAGCAGAACTGCATGTGAAAGAAAAGAAGAAAGTTTTCAAATCTGTTTTACTCCTCTAGTCACCCGGTTCTGCCCAAGAAATTAAGCCCTTTATATTCAGTTTATAAGGAGACATGATGAGATGCTGAGGGGACACTTCTGAGGACCATGTTCTCAACTGAAAAATCAGGGTCAGTCTCACCTCTGAAATTAAACAGATCATGATGCTGCAATTTCCCTGTAGTCACTGATAAAGCCTCAAGACAACATGCATTCTGTCATATTACAAGCATACAAGTATCTCCTTCACACTTTAAGTGAAGTTTTACTATGGATTTACTATGGATTTCAGAAAACAGGTTTTTAATAAGTATTGAAAAATACTTATCAGGACTCTATCTCTTTAGACTAAGCATTCAAAAGATGGACTGGTACTCATTTCTCTGTGTGACAGAGAACATGGTTGTGACTTCTGTGTACTAAATCGTAGCTATTCGGTATTTATATACAACACAGTCATAGCAACAATAATAAAAAAAGGATTTAGGTGAAAAGAAATACAGGGAGAGTTTTTCCTCTGTCAGTTTCTTCATGTAGTATACATTTTATTTTATTCACTGGTTAATCCTAAATCCTTTTCAGTGACTTCCAGCAGTCAGATTACCTGAACAGTTTAATGAACACTCCTGCAAGGATATCACAACCTTTTCCGTTTTTAGTCTCAATCAGTGTTATAAATGGGATTAGGTCTCTATGAAATTCTGAAAAAATGCATCACATTCTAATTATAGGAAAGAAGAACAGGGAGGTTTTTTCTTCCTCCTCCATAACCCTCACCACTGTGTGCAACTCCTGGGATTCCTGGATGGTGATGCTGGGGAAAAGTGCTCAGTCTTGGTGAAGAATCCTGGGGAGAAGTAGGACTAAACAAAGGCTTTTCAGGTTTCTTCATTGTAGGAGAAGACATATCTGTAACAGAAAAACAACAAAAGGGTGACATTAGCTTAGAAGCCTGTTTCAGGACACATAATTTTGTAGGCTGGATGTATTTCTTTTTACTGTTCATGCATAAATATTTTTTGGTGACCCAACTCCCCTATGACCAATAAACTAATTTTAAACTATTGCTTTCAAACTTGAGAATTAGTAATAATGCCATAACTGGTTTTTGTCCCGAAAAACAGAAACTACATTCCTTTCATACCAGACAAGTCAAACAGTGAAGAAACTTTTCCAGACACCTCTCAGCTCCCCAGAACATCACCAAATCATCTGTTCCTTCAACAGTGCAATTTTATTGCACTTTTTAATGGAACACCTACACTCAGGTGTGCAGGGTAACTGCCATACACATGCCAGTTTATGGTATTCATTATTGTGTTATTTCAAAACTTATCCCTTACCCTTCCCAAAATCATAATGAAACAATGTAAACTCCCTCAGAACAAAGGATACTTTTAACTTCTCCATCTCATATTTTCTGTATCTGAAGAAAGTCCTTCCCACTTCTTCCTTCCAGTTTCCCAATTGTCGTGGTTTTGCCCACCAGCCCATCCCTGGGGCTGAGGATGGTTTTGTCCAGGTGATTTCCGGACAAAAAACCAATCAAAAAGTTCAGTGACGCCTTTGCTAATTACATCTTTAAGAAAACGGAAGAGAAGGTTGTGGCGCAGTTGAAATTAGGAGCAGCAGCCATGTAGAAGGGTAGCGGGCCCGAGGAGGGCCAAGGCCCCCTCCTCCCCGGCTTGGGCCGGGGAGGGGGGCAGGTGCAGCACTGAAACCTCCTTTCTCTCTTGTGAGAGAGTGAAGAAGAAAAAAAGGTTTAAAAGACAAACTGCTTAGATGAGAAACCGCTGCAGAAGAATTCCAGCCATGAGATAACAGGATTTTCAAGGTCAAAGCTGCAGTCGCAGGAGAGAGAAGAAAAGTTCGAAGGGGGGAGAACTGCTTTTTCTCCTTTTCGCTCTCCCTCCCTTCAGCAGGGTAAAGACTGAAAAATAAAAACCCTGCCACCTGTGAAAATTTGTTGGGGTGAAGAGACCCCCCGTGCGGCTCACAGAGGAGCTTGTGGATGCACCAGAGATTTGTGACTTTAACAGAGAAAGCCTTATGCTGGAGTAAAAGCGACTCAGATGAGGCAGAATCCTGTTAAAGACTTTGTGACTCTCGAAGGGGACGATGCTTATGCTGGAGCGAGACGGCTCAGATAAGCTTGGGATCTCAGTGAGAGATCCATGCTGTTACTGAAGATTTGTGACCCTGAGAGGACCTACGCTGGAACAGAAAACGGTTCGGGTAGGGATATTGGGATCCATGTGTGGGATCCATGCTGCTGGTGCTAGAGATTTGTGACCCTGAGAGAACCTACGCTGGAACAGAAAATGGTTCAGGTGGGATATTGGGATCCGAGTAAGGGATCCAGACTAGACCCATGCCGAGAAGTCAATCAAGGACTGTTCTCCCATGGGGAGGGACCTCCATAGGGAAACAGGGGTGAACTCTTAAACCATTATCCCCTGTAACCCTGTGGAAGAAGATCCATAGTAAGCAAGTGTCCCCTTGCAAGCCTATGGAAGGAGACCCTTCAGAACCTGGGTAACCCCCAGCCTTCGGTTTTAGCCAAGGAGGGGGGTAGGCCCAGCCCTGGAGGCTGACATAGAGAAGAAGGAGAAAAAGTTCCAGCTGCGACGAAAGTGCTGCAGAGTTACTAGAGAGAGAGAGAGAACTGGAATTCCGAGAACAGAAAAGGACTGCTTCTCCTCCTTGGACTGATATAAAGGGAGGTGGGGGGAGAAGTATCTTCTGTAAATACATAATACCTTTTACTTAAGTAGATATAATTCTTTAGTTTTAGTTTATTAATAATAAATACTCATACTTTTTTTAATTCAGTCTCTTTTTGTCTGCATAAACCTTCTCTCAACTAGTAGTAATTGTATGTGGGTGTATAAAAGTAAATTGAGCCAGGGCAAAACCACGACACCAATCAACAAAAACATCTCTTCAGAGCTTACTATGTGAACATAACACACTAGCAGAGACAAACGTATGATTTCTACCAAGCAAGTTAATTGATATTTCATAGAGCAAAATTACTATATTTTTTCTGAAATTTTAAATTAATCAAACAACACTTGTTGGACTTTGAACCAAATTATTTAAAAGTTAATTACAATATTTTTATAGGACACACATCAGTGTTGTATTCGGGTTCCATTTTAAATCAATGGTACTAACTCTATTTAAAGCAAACGTCAGTTCTTAAGCACTTTACTGGACAGAAGCCACATTACAGCTGATTTTCCTATATGGGCCATGTTAGCTTTAAATGGATTTTTGACAATTTTAATATTGGTACACTGTATTTTACTATTCTGGGATACATGTATTCATCTCCGAAGTCACATACAGGCCTGCAAAATTTGAATGTCTTATTGAAACCAAAGTGGATCAAATATTGGGTTTTCACCCTGAAAATAATACTTAGAGCAGGACCCATGAAACTGAGGCTCTACTTCTCTGCTCTGTCCCATCTTGCTGCCGATCTCTGTGTAGGCACCGGCACCAGTCCCCAAGCAGACTCTGGCTGTAAACCTCCACCAATCCCCCTGCAACTCTTGCACTCCTCTTTGGCCTTAATGACTAAATCTCATGATTGCCTGGATACCCTGTGAAGTTCACATCTTCAAGAATGCTGTTGAAAAAGGATTTAGTTCAGCAAAACCTTCAGTAAGAACAAAGAACTGCTTACAACAGAGCAAGTCAGCAATCATTCTGTTTTAACAGATGTCAAAGGTTGTTCTTATGATTTTATTATACTGATCAGCTGCAACCTAATGTTATCAAAAATAGAGTGCTGACAGAGGCACCTCTAGTTGTCTCTGAAAATTTGGTAAATCAGTTTTGTTGAGGAAGAAAATGGAGGAATGTTTTGTTTCTTTGATTGGCTCAGCAGGCAAAAAAAGAAAAACTTGCCAAATGCTTACAGCTTTGTTGGATATATTCTGCTAAGCTAAGAAACATTTTTTTTAAATTGCAACACTGATTTTTTTTTTTTAAGTTGAGCTTTGCACAGGCAAACCATGATAAGAATTAATCCTGGAACGATTTTCAAACATTTCACTGTTTTACTTTCTGCTGTAATGATAGCCCTAGCTTCTTCATATTAAGGCCCTAGACCCACCAGGGCAAGAAAATTCCCACACTTCCCCGACAGATGTGGAGTTTTATTAAAGTCCAGGACAAAATTAACCTTCATACTGTGGCTCTGTGCATGCATAATCTGCCTCTGCAGAAATGCTGCAATATTATAATCTGACAAAAAAAATGAGTGTCTAATAGCTTATAAACACCACCTCTGACTTCAACACCGTGGCCATCAGAAATTGACATAGAACTTATCAGTGACCAAATATTTTAGTAACTCCACCACATAAGGTCTATTGCAAAAGAGAGAACATACAAACAGTTTATTTCAAATTAAACTACTTCACTTAAGTCTCCCTAATGGGGACAAAAAAACCCCAACAAAACAAAACAAACAACCATGGACTGGTACTGGAAAATCTTTTCCTTTTGTAAAGCTCATATTCAATAAAAGAACACATGAAAGAAAGAACTGTTCATCTCCTGAGGGTCTGCATATGTCAGCAGCTCTGATCTCTGGAATTCAACAGAGATTTTGTTTGGTTGGTAACTGCTACTTCATTCAACACACAAAAGTTGTTGTGTTTTTCAAAACCAAAATATTGTACGTGCTTAAAGGAAGTATGCTTTATGAAGTGCAATCTAATCACAGTATCCATTAACTCACAGTGTCATCACTAATTTGAGAAGGATATACTCAAAAGGTGATTGGTACCTATGATAATCCTAGCATTCACTTTAAAAATGTGTAATTTATTCCTGCCTCTGCTTTATATAAATAAGAACTGTAGCTAGTACACAGAAATCACAGAATAAATTGCAAATCAAACTCAGTGAACTTCTCATAGAGCTGACTCCCTTCTCATCGTGGTAACCTAAGCCTAGAAAATAAAACTAACTACAGCCATAAAAATACTTGTTACCCACCAAAACAGCAGCTTGTATGCTCACCCAGCACACTACCATGTGATACCTTCAGAAGCCTTGTTATACATAACAACGGCAACTCCAAAGAATAACTCCTGAAGTGCAGGCAGCAGCTTCTTTGGGCATCTAAAACAATGCCCTTTGCACTGACAAGTAATTCAGACAGTGTCTTTCCTCCAAAACCCTCACAGCTCTCCCCATGTGTCTGGCCATCATGATGGAGCATTCATGCTCCTGCCCCTGCCGAATACTACTGAATACAAAAACAAAACACAGTAATACCTGAATACGAAAACAAAAATTAAGGAAAAAATTAAAAAATGCAAAGTGGTTTTTCAGTGCCTTTAATTTTGCATAAGAAATGGTGCCTTTGAATACAGCACTTTAAATCAAAAAATCACAGAATATGCCCAGTTGGAAGGGATGTACTCAAACAAGAGTCATACCAAGGATCCTCAAACAAAAGTAGAGTTAAAGTGACAGTGAGACTTCATATGATTTTATTATTAGTTTCTATATAATAGAAATCACATACTTTTCTCATTTTAAAATGTCTTATTTTTTCCACATCATGTAATAAAGTCTAATAGCTACAGAGAACTTAGCTATATACTGGTAATTACATAATGAATGACATAGATAAAAAAACAAGCCATTTGCTCTTATGACCATGTTAAGGTTTCAGGAATGGGATTCCAATCCTTATTACTTTGAGAATTAAAATAAAACGGACTTTTGGGGAAAAAACAAACAAACAAACAAAACAAACAAACAAACAAACAAAAAATCACCACCCACAAGCTAAATACAGATGAAAAGCAGAAAGAAGCCAATAGCACTTGGACAAAGTTATTGAAAGGTCAACATTAATCAGACCCCATGTCCCGTCCTGTCTA